CAGCAACAACCACTTAGACAGCAAAAAGAACAGAGACAAATGGAAACAGACACTATGCAGAAAGACTCTAATGTAAAACAAAAACAATCACAGCAACAACAGAAAAAACAACAAACAGAGCAATAACAAAGTTAAAATAAACATAAACATAGCAACCAAGAACAACAACAACCACTAAAACAACAAAAAGAACAAATCAAAACCAAAAGCAGCCACCAAAAAAACAACGGAACCAATCTAAACAAGAAATAACGCCAGAAGTAGAGGAGAGAAAAGAAAAAGAAAAGAGAAAATAAAAAAGCTAAGAGAAGGAAAATACAGTGAAAAAAAGAAGAACCAAAGAGTATGCTTATATTCAGTGACGAGACATTAGATCCTGACCCATTGATTCCTAGTGAAAATGAACAAGCAGAGTTACTACATCAAGAAATAACAGAACAATGGATTCCAAGCGAAGACGAATTACTACAAAATGAAAATTACTTTTAAAAAAATAAAAATAAAAAATAAAAATAATAATAACAAAAAATAAATAATAAAAAAATGCTATAAATCATAACCATTGCTTAATAAAATAAAGACATAGTATAGCACAACATTACATAAATCAAGAGGTCCTCTCGAAATGGTCTGAGAAGATCAGAGAGAGCACCCTCTAAAAAAAAGTAAAAGCCACAAGTGACCATTCCATGTCCACACGCATCCTTTTGGACTCTCTCTCTCTCTCTCTCTCTCTCTCTCTCTCTCTCTCTCTCTCTCTCTCTCTCTCTCTCTCTCTCTCTCTCTCTCTCTCTCTCTCTCTCTCTCTCTCTCTCTCTCTCTCTCGCCCAACTCTCACATGTTCCCCGCGCGTATCTAATATATATATATATATATATATATATATATATATATATATATATATATATATATATATATATATATATATATATATATATATATATATATATATATATATATATATATATATATATACAGAGAGAAAGTAAGTTTAAAGCGATGGAAGAAAATTTTAATTCAATATCATATAAAGCTTGATTAAATTTTATTTCCAAACGTTGTGTTCAAAGGGGGTCAAGAGCGGAAATTGGGGACGGGGAGGGACAAAATGATCCGAATGGGGCTTCGCGTTTGCTAAGGACGCTGTTGTAGAGAGTTTTGTTTGGCTAAGTGTCCAAATATCTAACACGGGGTGGGAAAGGTCTCTGTCGATTTATCAGTAGGATTACTATGACATAGCACATAAATAGCTATACGTGTCTGTCCGTCTGCGTGTATTTTATACTTATCATAGTTATATGTGTTTGTCCCTTTGTATATACTTCATATTTAGTATTGTTGTTGCTTTAATTACTTTTGTTGTCATGAAGCAGATAATTTAAACTCGTTTCTGGTATAAATGGATATTATTAGTGGTGTTCCGAATTCATGCAATAAAAACGCAGAATTACAAACGATCATGTTCAGATGTCAGCCGTGACCTATCAACTTCAGAGTACATAAACATTAATTATTAGATTAGAAGGATCCAGTCTACTAAGACGAGAGCTATGCTTAAAACGAAATCTCAATATTTCTCCTAAAAATTTGAGTAATAATTGATCGCTCCAATATAACAGATCTGATGAATACTGATACAAGATCGTGTTTTATTGATATTTAGATTCACCAATCAAATAATAATTTTCACATTTTAAAGATTCAAAAACGTCATTCGGCACTCTCTACTATCGCCTATAAGTGCCTTCGCTATCTGGTGATATATTTTTGCATATTATTCCTACGTAAACCAGCTTCGCTAGTGGAACAAAATAGTTCTAAACACTTAATCCCTTTCCATTGTTTATTGTTATGACGTGCTGAAGTCAATCCAAAGTATGATTTTATCATTAGTTGTACTAAATAGAAATATTTGTAAAAACTTTTGTTATCACGTGTTTTTGTAAAACATAAGATTATCAGCTCGCATTAGAGCACTGCCCTGGTCCAACTCTTCCGTTGCGGGGGTGAGTATTACTTGCACGTTTCTTAAACTCTTTTGTCCCGGAGGTAAATAATTCTTGAATGCAGTTCTCAGTAAAAGAATACCCAAAGGGAATATAACGATTTTGAAAAACTTCTCATGTTTTCATCATTCTAAACATAACGTTGCGGACGATAAACTTTTACTAGCAAAGAAACGGCTTCAGACCACAATTATTTTCCTTTTCTGTCATGTATAACCAATCATTACTGTGCATTTGTTACTATAACCGATACACATTTGTAATTTTCTGCATGTACAATGTGACAATGTACGTGCAGAAAATTACAAATGTGTGCAAATAATACATCAAATTCCTAACCTTTCATCGTGGGTTGACAGTCTCGTGTTTTTGTAGCAAGACGATAAACAGATTGACTCAAGCTAAATAATTAAAAAAATGCTTGCCCGACATCAAATTAAGTGATATTTAACATATCTCTATCTTCATTGCAGAGTAGGCAGTCTTAAGAATCTATACAGCTTTCTAACCCTTGAATTCTACCCTTTTATTTTTAACATCGCTTATAACATTTCAAAACAATATAGCCTTGTAGCACATAAATGAAAATGATGCTATTTTTAAGCATAACTTCCTGATTTTAGCCAACTCTGAGGGGAACTAACTGTGGTCTGAGTCCAATACTAAACATAAGCTGACTGGGAATAACACAGGTAACAAGTTCATAAACCATGATCGGTGTCTGTCAGATCTTATTAAAAGGAGATCTGGACCTTAATCAAGTTGTATCGTGCTGCACTTTCGAAGGCAATGACTTTTGTCTCGCGTAATTATGATCATGCAGTTCCTGACTTATTGTCACACCATAATTAACGTATTTCTAGTTTCTTTTGAAATTGTATGGGATTGCCAGTATAACTGACTGAGGAAGAACCCAGAAATACACCAGGAAGAAACGCCAAGCCACTGTATGTTTTCTCGCATACCCACGTCCGCCAGGGCAAGACTCGAACCAACATGAATAAGTGAATAAGTGAGATGTGAGTAAAATGTCAAGGTCAGCGCTTCAGACCATTCGGCCATCCGGGCCCCAACACACTTTTGAAACTAACAGACTTTGAACGTATAACAGTTCTAAAGCGGGAATTTCGATCTAGGCTGGGTCAAAAACAGAGAAGAAACATAACACAGATATATATGTACATAGAGATAAAGAAACAAATGGGCAGATAGATAAAGAGACAGGCGGATATATATATATATATATATATATATATATATATATATATATATATATATATATATATATATATATATATATATATATATATATATACATGTATGTATGTATGTATGTATGTATGTATGTATGTATGTATGTATGTATGTATGTATGTATGTATGTATGTATGTATGTACGTACGTACGTGTGTGTGTGTGTGTACTTAACGTTTTTAACTGCAAAAATTTCTCTGTATACAAACTGTTTTTTTGTGGTATCCATTTATTTAATGTAGATTTCCTAATTATCCGACTGATATGGCATTTATAAAAATATGTAACAGACGAGTTTGCCTTGCAATTAAGGTGATAAACTACTAATGAATTCCAGCACTGCTTCGAATCCAGTCGAACCGCTCCGGTGGCCAGCGGTTAGAGCGTCCGCCTCGGATGCGGGAGGTCGTGGGTTCGATCCCCGGTCGAGTCATACCAAAGACTTACAAAAATGGTACTAACAGCTGCCTCGCTTGACACTCAGCATTAAGAGGTTAGTGTTAGGACTAGTCAGCCTGGTGTCAGGATAATGTGACTGGGTGGGACATCATGCTACATGTCTGCGGCACGATGCCCCAGTACTAGACATCACTAAAAACTGCCACACTGCAGACATCGTAACGATATGACTGAAAAATTGTTAAAAGCTACGTTAAAAATTATAAATTATAAACACCGAATCCAGTCCTCGTTGCTGCATCATTAGATTCTTACCTCATGTCCCTCCACCATCAAGATCCGAAAGATAATTATGCACTTTGACCATTGCGAAATAATGAAACTCAAAGCATCTTTGTGCTTGATCTTCTTTTGATCATTTTCCATACATTTCATTTTAAGGCCAACATTTTAATTCGTGTGTTGAAGTCTGATGACAATCTGACAATATACTTGCACGATTCGTTAAGTGACCCCAACATCTTTGAATTTTGAATGATGGTGACTAGGATGTAACGTTCAAGGTGTCTAGGTAAACTCGTGAGCGGAATCTGAGCACGAAATACCTGCAAAAGCGAGATAATGTCACTGACAACAACTTTGATATTAACCTCTTTGATCATATTAAAGAACCTATAAATGTTTCTCCCCCGTGAAAAGGTTTAATTTGATAAGTACTGACAACATATTGATGGAAACAGAAGATAGAGACGTATACCAAGAGCCCTCTAGCCATACTGTTGTCTTTGTGATCAGAGGTTCTGTCTTTAAGGTTGCAATTCATTTGTTAATTGTTTTGTCCCCTGGTGTACATGTGGACAAATATTGCTGATGATGATCTGATGTCAACAGGAGAATTTGTGGACATGTACGTACTATGGAAAAGCAAAGAGACATATGAACTGAAGAATGGAAAGCCTTTGGATACATAGAGGCCTTCATCTTGCCTTTTTGCATTTAGAAACATGATAACCTTTGCTAATCAACCTAGCTGTATCCATGAGAGAGGCCTTCCTCTTGCCTTTTTGCATTTAGAAACATGATAACCTTTGCTAATCAACCTAGCTGTATCCATGACTCATTAGCATCTCATCGACATCAATAACCTTTCAAGGACAATGTAAACCACTATGCAAATAAGAAACTTATTTGTCGTTTCTTTTAAAAGATCATCATCTTTTAACCAGCATGAGTAGTTGACGCAATCTTCTATCAACTGACATGAATTTTATCTTCCAATTATGTGAGGGACAATTTAAAAAAATATATGGGCTGTATCCTTATCTACATGTTTCTTAAGACCGTACAGGTGGCCTAGTGGTTAGAGCGTCTGCACTGGATGCGAGAGATCGTGGGTTCGATCCCCCGCCGCATGATACTAAAGACTTATTAAGATGGTACTCACAGCTGCCTCGTTTGGTGCTCAGAAATAAGAGATTAGTGTTAGGACTGGTAGTCTGCCTGATATCAGGATAATGTGCCTGAGTGGGACATCATACTACATGCCTTCGGCATGATGTCCCAATGCTAGACATCACTATAAACTGCCACAATGAAGACATCGTAGCGATATGACCGAGAAATTGTTAAAAGCTTGTTTAAAAATCAATTTATATTTATGTAAATAAAGTTTGTAAAGGTCATGCTTTTGGAAATATTTCATTTCGCAATGTTGAAAACTTTTGTATCTACCATGTGTTTGGCATCGCCATATTGCAGAAACAAAATGATTAAATGATAAACAACATCAGAGGATCTCCGAATGGTTCGTGATCATGACAGTGCTGAATTCTCTACAGTTAAGAATGTTGTTGAATGAAATACTTTCATAAAACACACACAAATCTGGAGTTATATTTGCATTTAATTCAACTGCACTTTTTATCTGCCAACGAGAACTTAAGTTTCCGACTCGAATGATAGAAAAAAGACGATGATATGTCACTTGAACACAGATAATCAATGATGTATATCGATCGAAAATTTTAAAAAAGAGATCGGTTCTCATTTTAGCATTATCATCAGGAATGCCTGATAATAAATAAAATAATGAGTTATGATCGACATGAAAGTACTTTAATCGCCAGTTTCAGCTGAATCGCAAATGTCGCCGTTATAAACACAAACCGACTTTGTGATGTGGGCTATTGTACATAATTAATTTGTATTGTGTGATTGACCTTTATCCAAAATTGAGTGTGTAGCTAATTGTTGTAAATGATTGTAGATTATTATTATTATTATTATTATTATTATTATTATTATTATTATTATTATTATTATTATTATTATTATTATTATTATTATTATTATTATTATTATTATTTGCAGATAAACATGTTTGATTCCATTTGAGTTCAGGATATTAGTTTTCCTCTCGGAAATTCCTGATGTATCTAATGTTTGCCATGTTCTTTGCTAAACGTTTAGTAATAGACTTGATCTTGTTGATAACTTTGAATATTTTAAAAATAAATTAACTTTAGCCACTCATTCTAGTTCTTTTATTGTGCCATAGGTTTTTAATATGAGTTTGTCAACAATAATATTTAATTTTTACTTAAGATATAAAGTGTACTCAGTCGTTTAGTTGTGTTCTCTATTTTGGGAGTTTATTGTGAATTCATTTAAAGACATTTTGAATTATTTCGTTGTGATACATCAAAACTGTTTTTACTTCAACACTATTCCAGGGTATTGGCAGATCAGTACAATCAAGTTTGGTATTCATTAAAAACACCACTGGAATTCATTCAGAATACTTTATACATTTGGACTTATGATAGATCTTTTGGACTATATGGGACTATTTAGGACTTTTTAAATTTTCACTTTGTATTCTAGGGAAATAAATTGTTGAATTTTTCTAAACTTGTTGGTTTTCGCTCTTTATGTTACTTTGTTGTAAGACCAGCGAGTCGCAATATGGAAAGTTTCTATTGAGATACAACCGTGTAATGACAAGGTACTTCCAAGTAATTTATTTTGCTATCAGTATAAAACAGTTTCCCTTCTGGCGCAAAGATTATTTGAAATATATCACTAAAATAACATATGTAATAAATATAGGCAACGTGAACTTTCCCTTCAAATGATCCTTAAAAGCCCTTATAAAAAAATCTTTCTTCCTTTTGTGGAACTAAACAAAAATGTGGACATTTAAAAGACGTTTATTTGACTACAACGTGTTTTTGGTGTACCGTAGCCAGGTGTTGTCAACAAATAGTATTGAAAGGTAAATTAATACCTCCACATTTAAGCAAACATTTAATGTGGACATTCAGATTGAATTATGGAATGGTTTTCACGAGGATTTAGCTTCCGTGTTTATCATGGAAATGTTCAATCCGCACCCTTGTATTTGTACTTATACTTAGCGCCGATGTGTTTGATAAACAGGACCGGGACTCTAATCCTTGCTGTGGTAGTGATAGTGTACTTTACGGAATATGTCGAAGTGTATGGTCTCAAAATATCACATTTTATTCCGATTTTATACCCATAAAGGATACATCACCTGTTCAACGGTTTCATAGTCGTTTCTCAAAATAAATGTTGTCTAGCTCATATGTAATGTTCAAAAACACAAGTGATAAGTCATGCAAAACTGTTGTATCTGCTGCTAATGATGAATATAGGTATGATAATAAGCAGTTTTACCAACAAATATGGCGAATTTCAGTAGTCACGATGTTTCATTTCTTGGATAAATGGGATGATAGTAAAAATAGACAGTTTCCGAAGGTTTTTTTAGAATCAATACATTGGTGATATTGCACATGCTCCTCATATACTTCCGTCAGTTTTTAAATTTTGTTTTATAAGCACAGTGAATAAATTATATATAAGGATGCATTAAAATAAGTGTGTATATGTTAGGCAATTTAATAGAAACTTCTATTAAGACTAGTGTATATATGTTAGGCAATTTAATAGAAACTTCTATTAAGACTAGTGTATATATGTTAGGCAATTTAATAGAAACTTCTATTAAGACTAGTGTATATATGTTAGGCAATTTAATAGAAACTTCTATTAAGACTAGTGTATATATGTTAGGCAATTTAATAGAAACTTCTATTAAGACTAGTGTATATACGTTAGGCAATTTAATAGAAACTTTCATTAAGACTAGTGTATATATGTTAGGCAATTTAATAGAAACTTTTATTAAGACTAGTGTATATATGTTAGGCAATTTAATAGAAACTTCTATTAAGACTAGTGTATATATGTTAGGCAATTTAATAGAAACTTTTATTAAGACTAGTGTATGTATGTTAGGCAATTTAATAGAAACTTTTATTAAGACTAGTGTATGTATGTTAGGCAATTAAAATGGAAATAGCATTATAGTTATCAGCATATGATATGTTTCATTTTCTGGAATTTTTTTAACTCTGAATAAATAACTGATATATTTTGGGCAGGCTTTCCAAGACTGACCGAATAGGACGTTTTGTTTTTGCTTTGTGACCTTACAAAGAAAAAAAATCATGCATACAATTAAACATTCTTCATGACTCAGAACATCTTTAGAAAAATCAGGGAAAAAAACATTTTAATAGTTTTGTAAGGTTTTCTGTTAATCTGTTCCATGAATTTAGTGATACTTTGATCAAGATTATCCAGGTTTAATTAAAGATGGTCTTTTTGTACCTAACTTAGTATTTTTCCATCTTTATTAAAATATATAACAATGTGACTTGAAATGAGTGTCATTAGAAAAAATGTAGTGGCGGCACGAGGGTTTGAGGTGCCCGGTGGAACTGTTCTTCATTATCGGGCATACTCTGCTGCAGAGAACAGTTTTTATGATAGTTACCACTACTCCATCCATCCCACACACCACCAAAACCACCCAACCACCCCAAAATCTATGTCTTGTAAAGAATTGCAACTGTTACACTAATTGAAGGTGAAAAACTTTGAGAATTAAGGCTGCTAAAAGGGCTCCCGATTATGCCTCCTTGCTCCGGGAGTGGGAGTCGGGGTGGTCCATTCCCAACTCCCCTCGCACCGCCACGGAAATTGCGTAGTACTTGGACAAAAGTACTTCCTACTCCGATCAAAAGTAATCTACTAGTAAATCACAATGTTGATTTTACTCTATAGTTACTATTTTTAGTTTGTAGTATTTAACACGTTTCATAATTTGACGTATAAATATGCATAATTTACATACATCGATGTGGCCATTATAAGTTGAGAAAAGCTGAAAGCTTAACTAATTTTTCAAACATCTTGGCTTCATGATAAGAATACGATGTAAAACGGAATATCGTAAAAAATAATTTTCTGAAGAAAAACTTGCAATTTTTAAGTGAGATATAAGATGATCTATTCTCGAATCAATCAATCGACATGTGTTATTTTTCTTTCTTTCTCTGGTAAATAAACAATTTGAGAGAGAACATTGCTGCAAAATTACAATGACTGGTCAGTTTGTCCACCTGTAAATTGTTTAGTTGATCTAATGCAAATGAGTCATAGAGCCTGAGAACACCTGTGGCATACAAATTGACAGAACAATTGAAAGCGCGCTTAATGGTATATGGTATGTCAGGTATTTATCCACAAATTTATTTTAGGAATTAAATGTAAAGTCCTACGTATGAATGCCGATGCCGATTGCTCAGATCAAGTATGTGTGCCTAAGGTACGTAGTTTAAGCAATGTTTAAAAGGATATATATTTCATCTTAAATATGTTTTAAATAAACATAATATTAATTATAAATGATTTCAGAGCAAACGAATGCCCCGCAATTTTTATTTTTTAATAAGCTAATTCACTGCAAAACTTGTTACACAAGTCCGCAAGTTCTTTCAGCTCTGTTGGTAGGGCGTTGAATCATGATCTAATGGTCACAAGTTCGATATTCGCCTAGAAGAGACAGATTTGTCTGCATCACTGTATTCTTGAGAAGGGTGCTTTGCTCTCAATTCCTCAACATCACACAGTCAATAATGTGCTTAAATGCCGTTAAAACACCAACCCCCATAAACAAAAACAAACAAACAAGCAAAAAACATGAATGCCCTGAGTAAAATGCTTTTCATTTATGCTAAGTCGGATAATGTTATTCTGATTCCAGTAACCATTACATAATTATTTGAATTTATATGTGTGTCACAAAGTGTTATTATTATTGTTAAATTAAATTTGGTTTAAATGAAAATGATTAATTAGTTCACAATCAAACATGGCATATAAAATCGTCGCCAATTAGGTTTGCTTACGTCATTACTTCCCATTTAACCATTTGACAAGAAGACTATAAGAATTGGGTAAATAATGTCGATGTTTCAATCATCAAAAAACAAAAATTACTTCAAATAAATAAATAAAATGGAAAAATTAAAATAAATAAATT